GCTGGTACTAAATCAGAACGATGGAAATAACTGCAGAAAGTGTAGACTAAGGCTATGTCTACACTGTTCCATGGTGAGGACTACAGGATGTTAATGCAGAGAGCACCAAACAGTTGGGCTCTGAGTGCTGTGTGTGGACACTGCTGGCATGAACTAAAAGGTATCTAGTTCACATTAACGTAATCCTCTTTGAAACAGAACTATATTCACATCCCCACAGTCTGCATTGTGACTCAGTGCAGACAAGCCCTAACAGAGACTCAGGCCTTGTAACTGAGGGCATTATAGATACACTGCAAAATGGATTCCCCTTTCCAATTTACTTTCAGTGCATTGACCCATATCATTTGATCAACATTTGTTCAAATGAACAGGGACTTCTACTGTACTCCTTTGCCAAACAGCATTGTAACATTGCTATATGCATCCGAAGAAGTGGGTTGTAGCCCACAAAAGCTTATGCTCTAATAAATTTGTTAGTCTCTAAGGTGCCACAAGTACTCCTGTTCTTTTAGCATTGTAACAGAGTATCTTCATCAGACATTCATTGATTATCTCAACAACGGAGCTGAAATTAAATGCAGTAGGGGCATGTAAAGGACTATAATAAGAAATTGCTTTTTTCTAAAAAGTATCCTTGGCTTTGTCTGGCATATGACCTAAGACCCACACATTCAGTTGTGAAGGTATCACTAATGATGTGCTAGTTCTCAAGGACGTATCAGAGTGCTGCAGCTAACACCCGATAACACCGCTCACTCCAGTGCTGACACACTTTGGCTGCTGAGTGCAAAAATCTCTCCTGAAAGAGACCCTAAGCAAAAAGCAAGGAGCTGCGTTTACTCACGGGACTGTGCAGCAGGTAACATAAAAATCCAACCTCATCCAGGCTGCTCTTTTCCAGAAGACTAAACAATATGATTGTTGCATTGTTCAATCCGTTTTCCTGTTTATTATTGGCCACCTCTTTTCTTTTAATACTTCTCTTATAAATTCAACTTTCTTTTAGTTTATAAATGTTTTCAGCTTTCTTCCTTTTTAAAGTTTTCACACTTCTGTAGGTGTCTTCTCTGCAAGGTGGAGGAGTCTCACTACCCACTTGCACAAGCAAGCAGCATTCACTTCTTGTCTGATGATGATTTTAATAGATGGAAGATCTGTGGCATAGAGTCTATGATGCCCTGCATCTTGTGCAGTTATTTACACCAGTGTGAAGCATACTTGCTTTGCACTCACTTTGCACTGTTGTGAATTACTGTACAAGGTGAAGAGCAACAAAGAACTGGCCAGCCACTGGCCTGACTTGCTGGTTGTAGGATTGAGCCCTGCCAAATGTAATAGTTACTTTAGTGTGGCCCTTAAAATAGTTTGGTTTTAGAGCAGCTTCTTTCTCAGTGAAACATATCCTGCTAATTGTTTTCCTGTATTACTCTAAAAAGTATGACCCTTTAATAGTGATTTCAGAGAACAAATGAGCCTGTTTTGACTTTCCTCTTCTGCTAGTTGAGTGATCTATCAGGTTTCCTGTTGTTCATGAAGAGTCTCTCTATCTCTCTCTATTGTGCACAAATGTATGGAAATATATTTGTATGTAAAACAAAATGAGATACTTAGCTCCCGAGCTTCCTAGGCAAGGTGTTTGTGGCGGCATAATCCCCACTAGCCAGTATTGTACCTATTAAAATGGCATAGATGCTCTTGACTCAAATCATCCACATTTTACATATTGGCAGGAATGTTTTCTCACTGAATGAAGTTAAAGCAAAACCATTATATATAGTAAACTATGGCTATAGAAATGATCATTACTCTGAGATCGTCCTGTCCTTGAACTTTATATAGGCAAGCTAAACGTACACATTTAACATCATATACATCTCACAGTTGACCATGAATATAAAACATTTATTTGACACAAAACTACTGGGTGTACATACTTCTGGAGTCAATGTAAATACATCCCCACTCTCGTTTCAGCTCTGTTTGCAGGCAGTGGTGAGCTTCTGAGGGCCGAAAACAGTTTATTGTTTGCAGAGTAAAATAGATGGCTAACATCTGGTACTAAGTCGGGGACACTAATACACTGCACTCTCTCTTTGTTCAGCTGGCCTTGTGCTTAAACTGCCTGCTGTAGTAAGGATGTTTGTAGTTGTTTTATTTGTAGATAGAAGTCAGGACAGTAATCTTGTGACTTGAAGAATTCTAACAGAGAACCTAGCACTGTGAATTTACTTTACAAAATTACCATAGTACCAATATAATTCCTAACCCTGCTTGTCATAGAAGACTCTCTTAAAAGTTCATAAAGTGCTCTCTCCCTAGTACCTCATTCTTTAGTCATAGCTTCATGGTTTAAGGCCTGAAGAGACCAGTAGATCATCTAGTCTGATCTCCTGTATATCACGGGCCATTACATTTCACTTTGTTACCCCTGTATTGAGCCCAATATCTTTTGTTAGGCTTTAGCCAATCTTCAGAAAGGCACCCGGTCTTGAGCTAAAGACATCCAGAAAGGGAGACTCCACCACGTCCCTTGGTAGTTTGTTCTAATAGTTAATCACCCTCACTGCCAATAATGTGCCTTATTTCCAGCAGGAATTTGTCTGGCTTCAGCTTCCAGCCATTGGTTCTTTGTAATGACTTTCTCCGCTAGATTAAAGAGCCTTTTAGTACATAGTATTTTCTCCCTATGAGGGTCCTTATACACTGTAATCAAGTGACCTCTTGGTCTTCATTTGCTAAACTAAACAGATTGAGCTCTGTAAGTATCTCACTAAGATACTTTTCATTTTCTTCCATCCTGAAATAATTTTTGTGGCTCTTTTCTGCACCCTCTCCAATTTTTCAACATCCTTTTGAAATGTGGACACCAGAACTGTACACAGCATTCCAGTATCTGTCTCTGCAATGCCATATACAGAGGTAAAATAACCTCCATACTCACTACACCCCTGTTTATACATCCAACGATTGCACTGGCCCTTGTTGACACAGTGTTGCCCTGGGAGCTCATTCTGATTGTTTGTTCACTGTGACCCCTAAATTCTTTTCAGAGCCACTGCATTCCAGGATACAGTCCCCCATTCTATAGTATGGACTGCATTCCTTGCTCCAAGATGTATAACTTTGCATTTGGCTGTATTTGCTGTGTGTGACCTCCCTGTCCTCATAATTACTCACCATTTGCCAATCTTTGTGTTTTCTGCAATGTTATCAGCAGTAATTTTTATATTTACTTCTAAATCACCAATGAAAATGTTGACTAGCATCAGATCTAGAACCAGTCCTTGTAGAATCCCCCGAGAAACCTCTATTTGATGATGCTTCCCCATTGATGACTACTATTTGAGATCTGTCAGTTAGACTGTTCTTGATCCATTTAACATGTGCTGTATGGATGCTGTAGAGTGCTGTTTTTTAATCTGAATGGTGTGCGGTACTAAATGAAATGCCTTACAGAAGTCTAAGTACATCTTCTCAGTTACTTTTATCAACTAAGCTTGTAATCTCCTCAAAGAATGAATTCAATTTTGTTTGCTAAGACCTAATTTTCCATGTTGACAGACATTAATTATATTCCTATCCTCTAATTCTTTACATTAAGGTATTTCAGCTAAGGGAGGGGTGGCAAACTGATTTGGATTAAATAAGAAACTGACTCCAACCTTTGCACAAAACTCAATATTCTCTGATCCAAACTACACCTATTTTGTGCTTGAGGTTCACTCTTGCTATCTTACGCATTTTTATGCACTTTTGTACCTCAAAAGTAGCTGAATTATAACGATGCTGTCTGAGATTTCCAGAACGTTCTTGTTTTGGCTGAGCTCAGCCAAACCAATAAGTTCTGGAAATCTGAGACAGCACTGATAAAATTCATTTATTTTTGGGAGTTGAAGGTGGCAACCAACTGCACAACCATGGGAGGAACAGGTGAAGGAAATGGTAGCTAATTACACTGGGGCAAAACACCTACTCTACCATGACATTTTTTTTATCTTTAATGTTCACCCAGAACAAATAGGATTTTAGTTTTTAAGTTCTCTGCGCATTAATTGCATGGTACTTAATGTATCCACTTTGGAAGTATGAAAGACCGAGTTGACCAGACCCCGCTTTGAACATGTGGGTCCAAGGAATGTTGGTGTTTCATTCTGGCTCTTAGTTCCTGAACCAGATTTCATCGATTATCATCATGTATTACTTCTCCACCTTTGTGACAAAAATGAAAGTACTGATAAAGAATCCATGTCATTTCCTAAATAGTGACACACTATGGTTTTTGTATGTTTAAGTAAGGCTATATCAACACTACGAGCTAGGGGTGTGATTCCCTTGCTCGTGTGCACATACTCACACTAGTTCTCATCGAGTTAATGTGAATATAAATAGCAGCATACCTGCGGTAGCACAGATAGTGGCAGCAAAGGTCCAATGAGTTGTGCCAAGTAAATACTCACTGATTTCAGGTGGGTATTTACTTGGCATGGTTCAGCCATTCCTCTGCTGCTACTACCCATGCTACTGCAGCGACACTGTGTGTTCACGAGCAGGGGAAATACACCCCAAGCTTGTAGCATTGATGTAGCCTAACTGTCTTAATTTAGGACAGATTGTGCTTTCCATTATACCAGAGTTAATCCAGAACAAGTCCACTGAAATCAGTGCCCTTACTGTGTTTTATGCTGGTGTATCTGAAATCTGAATCTATTCCCAAATAAAATGGTGAGTTAAAATATAAAATATTGTGGTAGGGCTATTAAGTGGTCCTATTCAGTACTCTTGACTCTTTCAAGCCAGATAGGGTTTTGCCTGAATAAGGAGCAAATAAGACCTCTAAATCAGTACTGCTCTTTATTTTTCCCCTTTAAGGCACATTTCAAAATGACACAGAAATGATGAATACACAAATCCACAATGAAGTAACCAGCTAGGCACTTAGGTTTCATGCCCAGTTATGAAGACGTACTGTTCTTGACTTTGCTTTCGCTATCTTACAGAGCTCAGCTTCTCTACCAGGATCAGTGTCCTGCCAACCACCAGCTCATCATCCAAGTAAACACCCGAAGGCCCAAGAAGAAACTGAGCAAATATTTCCTAAGGTAGGTGCATCCTTTCAGTTGAATTTCTCAGCTTGCTAGTTAGTTCGCCAAGCCAAGGCGGAGGGTTGGAGATAAATTGTCGGGTGTTGAGTGTTGGGGATCAAGGCCAATTCCTCCCTGATAGGGGTTCATTAGCTTCAGTGGAGTCACACGAGGGATAAATTTTGGCCCTTTGTGCTCATAGGTCAGCAGGTTGCTTTGTTTTCTCTGGAGCTGTGACTTTTGCTGTGAAAAGGAACATACACTGCAGTTCAGTATATCTCCAGCCTCATTCCCTCCTGCCCTAGAACTGTCAATTGTTTTTCTTATGCTTTTCTTACTGAATCATCACCAGAAATTCACCATTTTAGGTGTGTTTTTTTGTTTTTCAATTCCGATGTCTCCAAACCATTTAAGTCAAGTTTTATGCCTTAACCTGCACATTATTTGTATGTGCATAAAATGCAAAGGGGGAAGTCCAGTCCTGTCCGGAGGGAAAGCCTAAGGCCTATTTATCACTTAACCTCAGTGGTGCGTAGGCTTTGTGCAAGCTATGGCATAGGGATGGGCTTCATTCATTTTCATTTTTCAGTCCATGCGAAATACAGCTGCTAAAATCTCCCTTGTTTGTTGATTTGATCATGTCACTACCATCTCGGGGAAAAATTCCTCCCCTGGTTCCTCAGATGCTGTCACATCAGATTTAAGTGATTTTGTCCCCATCTTCAAAGCTCTACATAACTTTTCTCCTCCTTATGTATCCTTCCTTGTTGGACTTTGGATTGCCTCGCTCTGCCAGTGTACTCACCCATTTGTTAGCTTCTCCCACAAATGCCTTTTTGCCTTTGTCCATGTGGCATTGTACAACTTCCCTGAATTCATCCACAGAGCCCTGTCCGCAGTTTTGGAGAGATTTAAAATTCCACTACTGCTGCAGTGGTTACAGTTAATCATGTTGACTCGTATTAAAATCCCTGTTTGTGCCCATTCCCTGACCTTTGTCACCCTGTCTGTCCATCCTTAGATTGTGATCTTGGAACAGTGACAGTCCCTTCTTGAATGTCTGGAAAATGACTAGCATTACCATAAACAACTAATGAATACTACTCATAATAATCAGTGGCTTTCCAATAGATCTGTTTTTAAAAAATAGTATGTGATGTGTACAAAATGCAAACAACATTACAGTTTGGACTTTGCCTTTATGAAAAGGCAAAATCAAGCCATATTTCACCGGTGATGACAGCAGAACGGGAGCTGAAGATCCAAAGAAGAAATCTATCTCATCGCTTTTATTTTTCACATATTTAACTACACTCTTACGTAGAGGATCAGCATCATTCAGGCTGATAGTGAGAAAACAGGATGGAGAATCATGAGCTTCGAGGAAAATCTAATTTTCTCAGGGTATGTCTGTACTGCAAAAGCAAAACAAAAAAACCTGCAGAAGTGAGTCTCAGAGCCCATAACAACATGCTCACACTACAGGCTAAAAGCGGCTGTGTAAATGTTCCTGCTCGGGCCAAAACTGGGGCTCTGAGGCCCACCCCACTCGCCAGATTTCAGAGCCCATGCTCCAGCCCGAGACCAAACATCTACACTGCTATTTTTAGCCCCATAGAGTGAGACTCATGAGCCTGATTCAGTTGACACGGGCTCTGAGCCTCGCTGCTGCAGGGTATGGGTTGGGTTTTTTGATGCGTAGATGTACCCTTTGAGCACTGTTTTGTGGACTTGCAATTTAGTTTCCACCTCCTGTATTTTCCCTTTAATTCCTTCCACACAGTTGTTTAATTCTGCCAGTCAATGCAACTAGGATTTCCAATTTGGTGTCCATTGATTTTTACAGCAGCTGTCATATTACTGGTTTTATATCTGGAGCTTCCTTATTGTTCTTATCCCATTCCCCTGGCCAGAGCTGACTTAAAAATGGAGGAAGAAAGGGAAATCATGAACACTTCTTCTAAAGTGTTTTCATTCCATTGGTTTTCAAAATGGACTGTTTTTTGTTTTTTTTTAAATTTCCATAGAATTTTAATAGATTTTTTTTCATATTTGAAATTGGAATGTTCAAAAAACAATTTTTAAAATTTCAAAATAAAAATATTTCCAAAACAAGAAATGTTGGTTTTTTTTTTAAAAAAAAAGTCTCACTGGGTAACTACTCTGATCAGTCAAAGCTGGCAATGAAAAAGAGAAAAAGAAAAAAGAAAAACAAACTTTTCTGTTTGAAAATTTTGAAAACAGAAAATTTTGAGAAAATCATTTTGAAAGTTTTCTGTTTTTGAGAATTTTCAACTGACTTTTTTCTTTCTTCCCCTTAAAAACAAGTGTTTGAAGAAAAATGTTGTGAAGCTGTGTTGACTGATGGACACTTCATCTTTGCTCAGTCAGAATGGCCACTGAGACTTTCAGTCTGAAGGCTCTTTGTGTGAAAACCAGATTTTTCTCCACAATTGATTTTTCCCCTCTAGTCTGTGGAATGAGTTCATTTTTAAGGACAAGATTTGGGGTTTGGGTTTTTTTGGTTTGTTTGTTTGTTTTTTAAGTGTTGTGAAGTTTCACTTTTATTCAGTTTGTCTCTTGCAATTCAACATGCAGAGCCTCCCATCAGATTCCTTGGAACAGAAGCATCTAAAGTGTTTTTCTTTGTAGTTGGATGGTGTTTGGAGACAAGAAATCTTATGAGGAAGCAGATAAGATTATTTTTCCTACTATTTTCCAGACATTCTTCCCTCTGTCATGATGTGTCCCACAGTATTGCCAATCCCAAGCATTAAAAAATCATGAGATGTTTAAATATATATATTTAATATTGCTGTTGATTTTATATGGAAGGCATTCAGATACTGTGGTGATGGATGGTACACCCCTGAGATGCTCCCATGCTTAAATGAGTTTAAACTCACTGAGGCCTTAGGAGTTTGGGGCTCTAGAGAACCTGATGTGGCAAACCAATTCCGCCCTTTGTATCTGTTTGTGCTATGTGAGCGCAGGGTTGGAACTTTTGTTAGCCAACCTATTTTATAATAGAATGAGAATAAATGCCTTAAGTATTGGAAAAATGCCAAGGAATTGACAGAAATCAGATCTGATATTCAGTTACAAAGATACTTTTATTTAATCTGAATATACTCCCTATGAAAAAGTCTTACAGAGTTTAATAGTGATGAAACCAATAAGATTCTTTAGAAAGTACTCTGAAAAACCACAGAATTTGAGAATTGAGATCCTTTCCATAAAATCAGCCTATAGAATTGAATAGAGAATGATATCCCTCTATAGAATTCTACAGGCTTGTTTAAGAATTCTGTAGAACAGTTTTCATTTTCTGTTTGCCTCTATTATGACATTTATGTGCCCCCCCATTTACATTCTGTGTGAGCACCTCACAATCTTTAACGTATCTGTCCTCACAACACCCATTGGATAGGGAAGTTCTATTACCCCAGTTTTACAGATGAGACACTGAAGCACAGAAAGACTAAGCGACTAAAGACCAAGGTCACACAGGAAGTCTGTGGCGGAGCAGGGAACTGAACTCAGCTCTCCTGTGGCCTATGCTAATGTCCTAACCACTGGACTATCCTTCCTCTCCCCTTCAGTTATTATTATTTTTACTGTGGTAGCATCCAGGCTTCACTAGTTGCTATCCAAACTCGGAAGAACGAAGTCCCTGCCCCAAAGAGCTTACGCTATAGCACTTTTCCATGAGGCATATAAAACAAGTGTTTGGGAAAACATTTTTGACATGTCCAAAAGATGCTAGTTGTTATAACCAGGTGGCTGGTGTGTATGGAACAAAGTTTACTGCCACTTGCTGGGTTTAAAAGTAGATTTTGTTTCTCACACTTTGCTGTTAAAATTTAGCCACTCAAACAGAAAAGGGGGATCGTTACAGACTGCTGCAGGATGGGTAAATAAAGCTGAGTCTGGTGGTCAAGGGGACTGGCAAAGGCAATTACTCATGTGAACACATTTTACTCTTCTGATAGCTGCGAAACCAGTTTGGGATATTTCTCAGCAAGAATATATAAAGCCAACATTTTCTTCACTGTGTTCTTTCTTCTCTCTTTTCTTCCACCCCATACTGCAACACCCAAAATAAATTCCATTCCTGACCTAGGCAGTTTTTGCTTGTTAGTTTAGACACAAGCCCATCTCTGTGGAGTCTTGGGAAGAAAAAGATTTACTATAGAACCAGGCAGGAGGACTGAATGATGGTCCACACATAACTGGCAGAACAGAGGGATATGTCCTTATATGAACAAAGATTCATAAATTCTAGGACTGGAAGGGACCTCGAGAGGTCATCGAGTCCAGTCCCCTGCCCGCATGGCAGGACCAAATACTGTCTAGACCATCCCTGATAGACATTTATCTAACCTACTCTTAAATATCTCCAGAGATGGGAGATTCCACAACCTCCCTAGGCAATCTATTCCAGTGTTTAACCACCCTGACAGTTAGGAACTTTTTCCTAATGTCCAACCTAGACCTCCCTTGCTGCAGTTTAAACCCATTGCTTCTTGTTCTATCCTTAGAGGCTAAGGTGAACAAGTTTTCTCCCTCCTCCTTATGGCACCCTTTTAAATACCTGAAAACTGCTATCATGAATAGCTTAGTTTTCTTTTTCTCCTTTACATTTCTGTTGTCAGAAGTTAAATATGGCCAGTTTGAAATGCTTAGTTATTATAAGCCTCATGCCAGGCAGGAAATATAACTGATGTTAATGCCTGCTGTCAGCAATAGGTGCCGCTGAACTGGTGCTGTAAATGGTTTTAATGCAAGTGTAGACAGGACCAAACTGTGTTCAGTACCATTTCAGAAAACATGGTGGATCCTCAAGTGTCTACACTAGCCTTTTTAAAGAAATCTCCTACCATTTCATTATTACCAGTGCTGCTCCAGTAGTACAAGCAGTGGTGGGAATGCTGGCATACACAGGGCACTGGTGATTTTAAGCTTAGGGATTCTTTTATTATGCATTTGTGCAGCACCTTACACAATGGGGGCGATCC